TAAAAATTTTTAATATTATAATTAATAAGTGTCCCTTAATTTAATTTCTTAGCTCTGCCACGGGCAATGTTGTTACTTTTTTATTTTTTTATTTTTTATTTTCACCTACCTGTAAAAGGAAACCACATCAACTTTTGTAAATAATTTTATGTTCGTCGTCTTTGTTAGTGGAACTACTCTAATCAATTAGTTATTTCTACTATGGTCTACCCCATGGTTCTCATTCACTCAAAAAGTTAACCTCTAAAATTACTAGGGCAAGTAATTAGATAAAGGGGGATGCACCAATAAATTCCAAATTAATAACTTATGCACTGTTTAGTCTTAAAAGTTTTCTTATAGACTGAAAGGTCCCATTACAATGTTAATAACATCAGATACAATGTTAATAACATCAGAGTCATGTTACAAACATTGGATTTCAAATATCTAATGTTCATCAAATTTCAATAATGTTTAAAAATATAGGATGAAAAACATCTAATGTTCATCAGATTTCAATAAATTTTGAAATTATAGAATGAAACATCAGATCATTTACATCATTCACATCATGTTGATGTAAAAATGGGACTAAATGGAGCATAAGAAAACTTTTAGGACTAAATGGTTCAACGTTTCAAAAACTAGGACTTATGGGTAAATTTTCCTTAGATAAACCCGGCAAAGATTCACGACATGATAAAAAATTTACACTTTGCATCCTTAAAGCATTACTCAATTCTTTCCTTGACTCCTTAAGCTGTTGATTTTTTCAATTTGATCCTTAAAACTATTGAATTTTTGTTAATGTGGTCGAGTAAGTTGGTAACGTCAAATTTTGACGCCACGTGGCATTGTATGAAGTCAAAGTAGGAAAATTGTAACAAAAATATTAGAGACTTTAAAAATTCTGTCAAAAGTTCTATTAAATGTCTCACACGAATGGGATCCACATTGTGTGGGTCTTATACCCATGTATGCTAGAGACTCCAAAAATTTCACTAAAAGTTTTATCAATTGTCTTATATGGGTGTGGGACCCACATTGTGTGAGTGACATACCCATGTGAGAGATTTGATAAAAACTTTGATAAAATTTTTGGGGTCTCTAGCATTACTCAAATTGTAATACTTGAAGGGTCAAAGTAGGATGTGCAATATTTTAAGGACCAAATTGAAAAAACTTTCAATACTATGTGGAGTTTTAGGAGATTGGAAAACAATTAGTCGGCTACTATCTGGACCACTTTGACAAAATTCTAATAGTTGAGGGAGTAAATTGAGGAATTTTAAAGTTTAAGGGACAAAGTGATAGTTTGGTAATACTTCAAGGCCTTGTTTGATTAACAGAAGAAGTAATAATCCAATGAATTAGTGTATGATTAGTTGTTCAATTAAATTAGTAAGATAATCATTTATTATGTATTCATTTTGTTTTTATTATTTCATACTTGAAATTATGATTTCTAATCCCTCTTAATATTAAAAATTTGTTAATTTTGTCGAATTGAATGTCCCCTGTATATATAATCTGGTTAATAAAATTTGCAATCAAGCATGAGATTGTGACTTTATGAACGGGCTCTGTTTGGCATGTGAGGTTGGCGCTATTTTAGTCATAAAAAGATAAAATATACTAAAAAAATAATAAGACAAAATATCATATTCAAACTATAATTATTTTAATTTTTTTCTCATAAAGTTAAAAAAGTCAAAAAATCAACCCACTTTCTAAACAAAGGCATCCAATCTCATACTATAATCCTACTAATCAAACATGCTCCAAGATGCAAAGTGTATTTTATTCATATCTTACACTTTTATTTTTGAGAAATTTTACTTACACCACCAATTAATCTCCTCACACCCTCAAAATTTAATTTTTTAATTTTATATTTTTATAAATTTTTTATTACCCTCATTCCTACCCTTCTCCTTCTCCTTCTCCTTGCACCCAAAACCTAAAACCCCTTAACCCTAATTCTTTCCCATTACCACCACCTCCACCGTCCCACTACCAACGCCGCCACTCCGCCACTACTCCACCACCATTTCCCTCTACCTAGCCCCTTCTCCACCTCACCCCTTTACCCACTCCAGACCTGAACAACATTATTAGTTTATTAGAGAGAAAAAAAAGAGAAGACGAGAGGCAATGGAAGTTGCAGTGGTGAGAAGACAGACAACCAAACCATCTTGCCTAACTTCTTCCCACCTCCACCATGTTCGACTCTCTTTTCTCGATCAAATAAACCCTCCAATTTTTATTTCATTAATCTATTTCTACTCATCATTGTCATCGAATTCAAAAACCAACAAGAAGAAGAACCCATTAGTAAAAAGACTTGATCTGCTAAAAAAATCACTTGCAGAGACATTGGTTGAGTTCTACCCATTTGCCGAACATTTCAAAGACTATCTTCTCTCCATTCACTGCAACGACGAGGGTGTTCACTTCTTTGAAGCTCAAGCCAATTCAGATCTGTTAGGGTTAGATTTAGGGGTTTTTAGGTTGTGAGTGTAAAGAGAAGGAGGACGTTTACGCGGTGTTGGTCGGAGGATTTGAAGAAGAATTTGAAAAAGGAAAGGAAAAAATTAGGTGAAATGTAAATAAAATATACCTACATTTCACCTAGTTTCACACACTTTTTTCATTTTCCTTTCCAAATTCTTTCTCAAATCCCTCAACCAAACACAGCATTAATGCTATGTTTGGTAACTTAGGAGAGAAAAGAAAAGAAATGATTACTTAAGTAATAAGAGAAAAGAAAAGAAAAGAAATGATTGTAATTTCTCTCTTTTTTGTTTGGATAAGTAAGAAATAAAAGAAAAGAAATGATTGTGATTTCTCTCCTTCTTGTTTGGTTAGATTTCATTAAGAGAAAAGAAAAGAAATTATTTTATGTTATATTACCAAAATAATCTTTTTTATATTTTCAATCATTTTATTTCTTTTATTTTTATAGGGGTAAAATTGGTATTATAAAAATATAAACATTTGTGGATTTCTTTTCTCTCCCAATCTCTCCACTTTTGGGAAGATTGAAAATAAGGGTTATGAGAGAAATGAGTTTATCTCAATTTCTCTCTATTTCTTCCCATTTCTCTCCACTTAAGATAACCAAACAAGGAAGAGAAATACATTTCTCTCCATTTCTTTTCTTTTCTCTCCAAATCACTCAATCCAAACACACCGTAAGAATGAGGATAAAAAAGAAATTATAAAAAACCAACAAGAAGAAGAACCCATTAGTAAAAAGACTTGATCTGCTAAAAAAATCACTTGCAGAGACATTGGTTGAGTTCTACCCATTTGCCGAACATTTCAAAGACTATCTTCTCTCCATTCACTGCAACGACGAGGGTGTTCACTTCTTTGAAGCTCAAGCCAATTCAGATCTGTTAGGGTTAGATTTAGGGGTTTTTAGGTTGTGAGTGTAAAGAGAAGGAGGACGTTTACGCTGTGTTGGTCGGAGGATTTGAAGAAAGATTTGGAAAGGGAAAGGAAAAAATTAAGTGAAATGTAAATAAAATATACTCACATTTCACCTAGTTTCACACACTTTTTTCATTTTCCTTTTCAAATCCCTTCTCAAATCCCCCAATCAAACACAGCATTAGGAATGAGAATAAAAAAGAAATTATAAAAATATAAAGTAAAAAAAATTGGATTTTGAGAGTGTAAAGAGTTAAATTGGCGGTGTAAGTAAAATTTTCCTTTATTTTTTTAACTTTTACAAACAAATAAAATTATCCTAGCAAGATGTAAGCTAACCTTGAAATCACTAGCAAGCAATTAATTATACCCCATAAAGACTCACTACCTTCTCACAAAACACAACAATAAATATATAAAATTCTCTAGTTTTTTTCTACTTTAAATAATTTATTTTTTTTCAAAAAACAGTACTTTATACAAATAAATAAAATCTCTTGTGCTATAAACCATATACATATAATTCCAATGTCACCAATAAATAATCACTTAATCAATGTATAGACACCCTATTTTGACCAGCACCAAGATTTTAATGATTTCTTTTGATTATTCGATGATAGAAACAAGAATGTGTTTTTTTCCAAAATCCTTAGTAAAAAAGATGAAGTTTGAGCTTTCTTTTCAACCTTAAGCCTATTTTGGCCAAGTGTTTAAGATCTGTTCAAAACTCTATTTCGAAACTTTCTTTATGTCCTTTGTTCCGAGCATTTTCGTAATATTCCGAGACTCATTTTTTTTAAAACTCAAAATGAAATGTTTTTTCAGAAAATTGAGTAAAGAGCAATATGGAAATAGAAGGACAATATGATAATTCTGTTGAAAAATTCAATTTCGTGCAAAATAGTTAAGCCAAGGCCAATATTTTGGTTGACCAACCAATCAATTGGCCAACTAGCCAACTTTTTGGCTAGTCAACTAATATTTGGCCGGTTGGCTAATTTGTCTAGGAACAAGACAGGTTCGGTAGAATTCTGGTTCGGTGCGTGTGGGGCATGCCATCTTTGAATTTTCTACCATATCTTTGTGCGAAATGGCCTACACACTCGGCCTCTATTACATTGGAATCTTGCCTCTTCACAAAAGGAGTAGCTAAAGTAAGGGCTCCCATTTGTCTTCTATCATCTTTTCCACTGAGATGGTGCTCTTGAATTGCATATATGTGAGAATGATCACAGAGAGAGAGAGAGAGAGAGAGAGAGGAGACTAGATTGACAGAGGTTGTAGGCATAGATAAAAGAGAGTTGTCAAAATTAACAAGTTGAGCTTTGAACTTCCATACACTGTTATATATCATCATCTCATTGATATATTATCTTCCATTGCCAAAACTATCCAAAAACTCCATTCTAGAGCTTTGATCAAAGAGAGAGTGATTGTGGTTAAAAAAAAGAAAATCAGGGAGTCCACCAATTCCCCCCCTCCCCTCCACACACATTGTTAAACAATCCAAGTCACCATTCTAACTAATATTCAAAGTTTTCGAATTGAGGATTGAGAACATAATTCACAAGCTTGAGGGTGATCAAAAGAGAGTTTGGAAATCAAGGAGTTTACCCTTTTTTTGAAAGGTAAATTTTCAATTTCTTTCATTTTCTTTCTTATATTAATTTTCTTACTTTGATTTCATATTATAAACTTGTTGTAATCTAGCTGGAAGTGGTTAGTTGAGCCACTTATATATTCCATGTTTATTCTTTTCGGTGTTGCAACAAAACAGATTTTGCCAGGCCTAATTGGCTAGTCGACGAACTTCTTCTGGACAGAGCATAGCAATCTTCCGATGATGAGCACAACAATTTCTGATGGTTTCCGAAGCACATGAAGTTTCTATTTTTATTTTAATTTGAGAGATTTGTGAAGTTTCATTATGTTGTAATATTCTCTCTCTCTCTCTCTCTCTCTCTCTCTCTCTCTCTTCCCCTCACTCCTTTATTTGGTTTGTAATTATTCGGTGATGTAATAATTCCCCAGCTCCCCTTCTTTCTATCCCATTCTTTTACTTGCTTTCTTTATTTGTACATAAACATCATATTTTGTTTTTCATCAAATCTATGCTTTGCATCTATGTTTCATGCATTAAGATTTGGCTAAATTTGCATCTATGGATTTAATCAATTCTTATATGATTGTGTGTTACCTCATGTTCTTGAGATAATTCACATGTCATATATTAGAAGCTAAATCTTTAGTTACATTTCATCAATGAATTGTATTAGGATTTTGTATATAAGATTATGCATATTTTACTAAGGCCTCGTTTGGGAACAGGCTAATTTAGTAACTTTTTGGCTATTTGGCTAAAAAAATAGGTAAAAAAAACTTGTACGTTTGGGATGACTTTTTGGCTAATTACGAAAAGATGTGCAAAAAGTAGAGAGAAAAGAGAATCTTTGACTTTTTGGTATGGGTTGTTGGCTTTTTGGCTAATTTAGTAACTTTTTGGCTAATTGGCTAAAATAGCCTCTTGCCAAACGAGGCCTAACTTTGTTTTGTAACTGTTCGCGGGACGTCGGTAAATATATAAGTTTTTATTCTTTACATCCCGTCTTACTATGTTTAGCATTCTTCCATATGGCTATTTGCTTATTTGATATATCTTTATGAATGCCAGTAGATGGAGGTTGTGTTGTTCAATTTGAAATAATATCGATTTTCGTGTTTGTCAACTCAATTTCTATTGAGTTGAACATTATTCAAACTCTTTTAAAATACATGAAATCAAATTATTCCAAAATGAGTGACATAATCTATACTTGTATACATCACATGATAAATTTTAGGATTTCTTAAATAAATCGGAATATGAACATATAAAGTAATAACAAAATTTATATAATGGTTTAGTAGAGGTCGATCTTTTATCGGGTGAGTTGGGTTGCTCAATTACAAGATCTTCCCCTCTCATACCTAAGGTTTTGAATTGAGATATCTTTGGTTACGACGAACAGTAACTTTGGCACAAGTCATGAGTTTTCTAATTTTTTTAAAATATTAGGCAGCGATTCTGAGATCTAGTGATGCAGTCAATTTCTAGCAAATGTTTTGCAATAAAATAAATTTTCTATAAAAATTGTCAAATCTGGACTCTTATTTATATTTTACATTCCACACGTGAGAGTAGATCAAAGAAATTAAGGGTCTGAACCATTTAATGCACTCGAGTACCCCAGACATGTTATACCATGTGATTTATGGACCAAAACCAACCACTAACTTTTGTTAACGACATTCATTTTACTTCATTTGATATTAGTTAGCCGCATAATCCCATCATTTGAAAATACAAGCAGCCGTAATGCATTTTCTTTAATTTGAATGAAAAATATGTTGGTTGATTTTAATTCACAAATTATAGAGAGTTAAATAGATATTTTCAAATGACTGATGAATTCTATACCAAAAAAGTTAGAAATCTAGACGCAAGAGAATTTGTCCAAAATCAATTTGCGTAGTAAAGATTAATTTGATAAAATATATATATATTCATGTGTAAAATGAATTGCAATCATTAATTGCTATTTTTGGATAAAAAATTCTAAATTTGTAGTCTTGTTGATTAATACTTCTTTTCGTTTAAAATCACAAATTGATGCCATCACATGTGACACACTAATTTGTTAGGGAAGTTCATCAAAACAGAATTAACGAGTATACCTTCCCAAATAACATGAACATCTTACCCTCAATGACTTGAACTGCTAACATTATAAAAATAATGTTATACAAACAAAATAAATTTTACCGACTCTTTCTATTCATAGATGTGATAATTCAATTTTCATTATTATATCAATAATGATAGAGACCACTAATTTTGGAACTCTAAAAAAATCACTAATGACATGACACTCAATAAAAAAAGAAAAAAAATACAACACCAAGATCAAAAACATCAAATCATTCATAGTGAAATCCACTGCCACATCATTAATGGTAGCACTAATTAGTGCTCTCACTCATTTTCCTTATTATATTATTCTAGTTAGTCAGTTTCAAATACCAAAATATTACTATTGCATGTTACATGTAAGTAACAAAAATAAAAAAAAATTATTAATTTGTATAGTATCTTCATGTTATAAATGAAAAGTTTGCAATGTAAGCACAAGTTTCACCCTCTCCTTGTATCATCAGGCGAGTTAGGGTGTCGGGTGGTTGCACCACCACTGCTTCATTTCTCAGCAATCTGTCAGCACAGGCTTAGATTCAGCCTCAATCTTATTCTCTGTTCAGGGAACACACATAAATCAAAACTTGAAGAAAGGACCAAAAGTTCCATCAGAGAGATCAAAACCCAACACAACATAACAAGAAGAAAGGTTAAACTGATTTACGATTGAAACTCCACTCGAGTTCTATTACCAAAATAACAACGCTCTAACGTTAAATATTACTTCACAAAATTGCCTGGGCAGATCAAATTAGTAGTGGTGGTGCTGTGGCTCTATGGAGGATAACAAAAAATAATCCCAAGTAAAAACCATTTACAGACAGTTACTTCTATACTAAAATGTATTTACAAAGTACCCTTCCTAATCTTCTGGAGTCTGAATTTCTCCCATCATGATCCGGTTGCTAACAATATTAAATCCCAGATCTGATGAGCTCATTACCTTCTTCCCTTTCTTCCCCTTCTTCTTCCCTCCCCCCGCTTTGGACCCATCATGAGCCGTCATTGGTTCAGAATCCCAAATACCACCACCTGCATTGTCAGAATTCATATCTCCCGCACCAAATCCGTCGGGCTTACGATCATTCTGACTTTGGAAGGCGATTTCAAGAACATCGGCAGATAACAACTCCTTGTAGTTCAGGAACTTGTCAATGAACTCATGGTCAGGATCAAATGTGCCAAGGTTCTCTGTCAGAAGTATCTCGGCCTCCGATCTGGATTGCTTTAAACAGAATTCCAGGAAACTTGTATCTAGGAAAGAAAATACGAAACTGAGTATCACCAATCGATTTGAGTAACAGTACCACCATCAAACGAATTGAATTTCTGAATCTGCTGCTTTGAATATTTGTAGAAGAGCAGAGAGCAATACAACATGACCAGCAATCCCCAATAATTTTCCCCAAATAACAATAATAAAATACTCAAATTCTTTTTGTGTTTCTTATTTATTGGCATACCAGAAACGTTTGGTTCATTTCATTGCAAACCAATTTGTTAAAAGCTTTAGAAGAAAAAATAAAAAGACAATAAAAAAATCAAGGAAAATGAGATGCCAATGGAAATAACAATACAATACCTTTTGTCCCGATAAGCCTGACAGACTCGCTCTCACACCAATCTCTGAAGTCCATGGCCTCTGCAAGGATTGGAGGCTAAAAGGTCACTTAAATTATTCAATTAGAAAACCTACCAGGCATAATGGTCTACCTGATTGCTTGGTCATGGCATCCTTTTTCCCTTTCAGGGACAACCGAGCAGAGGCAGGTGATGATGAAAGAGAATGTTCGGCAGGTCTGCCACCCGTAGATTTCTGTCGGCCCAATGACCCTCCAAGAGTTCCTTTCACAGGGGTGTTTTTAGTTCCCCAACTGCCCTGGTTTGCAAGATGAGGAAAATCCAACCTGCTTGCAGGAAACATGACCTCTTAATTTTGCCTTTACACTTTATCATTGTAAATAATTCAAACAACAATAGGTTCATAAAACCAATAGCCTTGATAATCGCATTGACACTTCTAGATAGTAGTTGTATTCATGTTGGACACCAACATTTCTCAGGCGGTCCTAGAAGCGTGTCCAACACTTCTTGAATGTGATCGGTTTTGATAATTTCAGACACTTCTCAAACCCTTTGACACCCTTTGACAACACTTCATGGAGACTTTCCAACAAAATCTATGTGGTGAATCTCTTAATAGCACCGCAAAAATCTTGGGAAAGCAACTCCAAAACCCCAAATTTGCATTAAACATTTCTAAAAAGAACATATTATATGCATGATCAAAACACAAAGTATGCAATTCACAATAAAATTAAAATTAAAATTAAAAATAGTAGATGTATTCATCTCCCACATTTCACAATTTCAAGTAAACATATTTAGATAACCCAAAGGGGTTGGCCTAGTGGTCAAGACTTGGGACTTGGGAGTGTGCTGCCACGGTCTCCGGTTCCAAACTTTCTAGGTGCAAAAATTTCTTGGGGCCAGTCCATAAGGGGCTTTTGCCTTGGCTTTAATTGGGACCTCTGGAAGTGAACGATGAGATTGGTCCCCCAGATTAGTCGGTCCAACAGGCCGGATACCAAGTTATCAAAAAGTAAACATATTTAGAGAAAAAAATTATATTATGTTTTTTCTTACACAATATGCATAAAATATTTTTATAAATGTATTAATATGTTTCCGTGTTCAATTCCTACTTTTTCAAGATTTTCCACATCAACATGTCCGTATCTCGTGTTTGTGTCCATGCCCTGATTATCTTTTCAAGAACACTGCGATTCTAATATATAGTTATTCTAAATACAATCATTTTATCATATAATATCAAGGCTTAGGAGAAGATATTAAAAGTGACATTTGCACCAATGTGCCATGTCAAATTTTTGATTACATTCTAAAACAATCATAGCAATTTATTTTTTTAAAGTAGATGGGTAAGCTGAGTCCTCCGTAGTTTAAACATGACTTGTGACCAAAATTACAAATAAAGTGGCATGATCAGCCTTGAAGGTTACTGTAATTTGAGAGGAACACATAATGTGGCACATATTGAAGTAGCAAGAAAAAGTATAGTTGGTTGCTTATGATTTCACTATGGGCTTTGACATGCAGAATGGCAAAACAAGACGCACACATGTTTTTATACCATCACACTGCTACCTCATAGATGTTCAATCATAAGAGACCCAAGAGGCTCAACTATTGTATGTACTATATTATATTTGTAGCACCTTCAACTTGTAACAAGCTGCTAAACATCAAAAGCTCCTCCACCCAGGGAAATCAACTAACAGTGTAGATTGTTTATCATGCCTTTCAACGCCTTGATTTAGGTTGAAAACAAGATGATTAGGTTAAAAGAAATACTCAGGCAAAGGCTTAAGCATGTTAACTATATTTAAGGACAACAGCATGATCTTACTTGAGCATGATATTCTATTGTTGTCCAGGGAGGGACTAAATCCAGAATTATTTTGCTTATCACCTCCTACACAATATTAAGATGAAAAATACCCCCACAACTCAACAAAAAATTTCAAATTTCATGGAATCGTAGGTAGTGGTTTGGTCTTGATTTACTTCAAAACCAAACCAAACAGAACCATACTCACGCCTATCATGAACCATTAAGAGGCAATGAATGTTGTTGAACATCAAAGTTCTAATTCATTAGAGTTACATTGGAAATCAAGCCAAAGTGATGAATGACAAGGTTAGTGAGTGAAAAGGCTCTTATTGATGATTCCAAAACACCCCTAGAAGATATAGTTATTACTCAAAATACTCTATTATTGTTACCATAATCGTACGACTCACAATTTATCATAAATCAATATGAATCTATGGGTCAATCTATTTTGGGATAGAATCTATGGTGTATTGCAAGACTCACATTTCAGTTCACTTTTTTACAACTAATGCAATTCTACTGTGTCTGCCAGATTCTGACATTTTTTACATATTTTTTCAGTAAAAATGACATAATAAACTTGTATGAGTGTTTAGTACGAAAATAAGCAATACTTCTGCATGATTTGTTGTTATTTTGGTGAACATGAAATTTTTAATAGATCCAATCAGGCCCAACATGTTCTTAACTTTTTTTTTTCTTCCCAAAAATGTCATAATATATCTTCTAAAGATATTTAAAGTTAAACTAACTTACACTCATGACTTATCCATTGTAATTTTAATTAAATAAATATGGTTCAATATTACATGGGTCAAATTAGTCAAATCCAATGATTCCATAACTTTATTTATTTATTTATTTATTTATTTTTTATTTTTTTAAACAATAACCATGCATCCCTTTTCAAGTGTTTTAAGTTTTAAAATAAAATATTTTACTAAACTCTTTCTTCTTTCTATATACGGTTTCTAGGTTCATTTCTGAATATCAAGAGAGATTATATTATATTTGTTGCATAATGTTATAAAGTTGGATTTGGACCCACGTCTCTTGGTATGAAGCCAATGTTTTTCCAATTAGACTGTGCAATCATGTCCTTATATAAGAACTAATTTATAACATATGTCAAAATCAATTGGTTTCATTCTTTAAAATATACACATCTATTTAACATCATTTTCTTATAGTTCGTATTGAATCTTAACAATTCACGATTCGTAAAATTAGGATTTCAATTCACAATACAATTCTTGATTTGACAAATATGCTCAAGAAGAGGATGGCGTCCAAATGAAGACTTTGGATGTCACACAAGCTGCAAGGAGTGAAGATTTAAGGCAGCCTGCTGCTGGTCCAGAACTTAATATGCTTTTAGGCCTTGTTTGATTAACAAGATTAATAGTGAAAGCATTAATAATCCCATGAATTAGTGTAGGGTTAGTTATCCATTAAATTAGTGAGATGACCATTTATTATGTATTCATTTTGTTTTTGTTTTTGTTTTTGTTTTTTTTTTTTTCTCCGTTTCATACTTGAAATTATGATCACCAACCCCTCCTAATATTAAAAATTTGCCAATTTTGTCAGATTGAATGTCTGCCATACATGTAATTCAGTTCAGTTAATAAAATTTGCAATAAAACATAGGAGTGCGAGTCCATGGACTAACAATCCCAATCCTATACTATATCATCCTACTAATCAAACATGCCCTTAGAAGTCACTAAATTGCATTCTAGTCTCCAATGTAGTGCCCACAAAGCCACCTAATGAATTTGCTTATCAAAATCTATGAAGCCTAAAGAGGCCAAAATTGAATCAAAGATGACCTTATGATAAGGACAAGATGATAAAAAGAAGGATCTAGGTTGTTGCAAGGAATATCAAAGAAGACTTTATGAATACAAATTTGGATTGATTCAAGGATGTGCTTTCCACGTCAATAGATTGTCATTCCAGTCAGATTCCATGACACAATCAACAAGAAGAGTCAATCATTATACTATTTGTTGCCCCAAACCAAAAAACAAAAAACAAAAAAAAAAATGAGCATCAAGTTGAAAATTTTCATACTAAGCTGTGGTTTCAAATTTGGAGCTCACGGATTCCTATACTTAAGTATTTTAAAACTTGAGGCTGAGTTTTCCCCAACCAGGGAAGAATGATGCAGTCCACGATAGGAGCACCAAAAACCAAAATGAAGAAAACATTTATGTATGGAAATTGCTTGGTTTCAAGCCGAATGCAATTGGGATCAATGGGAACTATCTATAGTTATGTTTAAATTAGTCTTGGTAGAGTTTATTTATGTTTATTTTAGGTTAAGAAAGCTGCAGTCAGTTTTAAGATTAGAAGTGTTTTGGTAATTCATAGAATTTCTGGATATGGGTTGTGCAAACCTGCCCATGGGTTGTCTTGTGGGTCAAGTTGTTTAATTGGGTATTTATTGATGGGTTTTATTTGGTCTTAAAAAGATTTTAGAAGTCAAAAGTTTAATAGTTTCCTATTTTGGAATCCTAGTCCTAGTTGGAAAAAGGAATCCTCCAAAATCTATATAAAGTCACGTAACGCTTCTGATTTAATAGAATTATTTTAGAAAATTTTCAAAGCTTTGAGGCTTCTTTTATAGATTGTGTAATGCAATCAAATACTAAGTGTAATGCCTAAGATATTCTAGGAGTGATTCCTACAATTATCTTCTTCTCCTTCTTGCTTCCTTGAATTTCAATACATCAAATTAAAAAAAAGACTGTTCACAACACCTAGAATAGCCCCAAAATTCAATCTTCCTTTCTATTACATTAAGCCCTAACCCTAATTCTTTCATACACTAGTAGAAGCCCTAATTTCCCATTGCTATTCAGCTTTAAACCACAATAAAAATCCACAGAAATTCAGCTTTAAAGTCCACACAACATTTGATTGTTCTACATCATTAAATTTTTTTTTATCTTCGACTAATGGGTTGTGCCTACTTTCAAGAGTTTCAGGGTGTGCTTCTTAGTTAATCCTGTGAAGCTGCAATAAAATCACTTAACACACCTTCAAGAAATTATTTAAGGTATTGCCAGACACAGGAATCAAAGGTTAACAAATAACAACAGGAATAATACCAATATTGTCTACACATTATCATGTAATATTCTGGACCCTTATCTTTTTCGATTTCCTTCTATATTTTTTTCCCCCTTTCTTTGGTAGAGACGAGCATCTAAATGAAAGCACAAATCTATTGCTTATTGGGAAAAAAAAAACATATTGCTGTCAAAACAGTTCAATCTATTTAAACATAAAACAGAATTCAATTAAAAAATGAAAGACTAAACTTAATTAGCATGAGAGTTTATCCCAAATGCAACCATTTAGTATGGAATAAAACAAATTTTGCTCAACTAATTCACAGCAAAAAGCATGAACAGCACAGTAGTCAAAGAAAGAGAAGATGTCATACTGCTTCACTTCTTGCTTTGGCTGATCTAAAGGACCCCAGAATAGGTCATCATCTCCTTTATGTTTCGATTGAGCAGAAGCATGGGAAACAATCTGTATGGGAGAAGCAGCCTTGGCTGGAGATGATGCAGAAAGCGACCAGGAAGGGCCAGTTCCACGGGAGGGCTGAGTTGGCTGTGACTTCTGAGTTGGAATTGGAGTTTGTTGCAAAGAGGAAACCTTTTTTTCCTGTTCCCTTTGGATGTCCCTCAATGATTTGGCCTTTGTAAGTTTGCCAGAGTCAGTGGACCATGCTGGCACAGGGGGAGGGTTGTTTGTGGACTCCCCCTTCCAGAGAACAAAATCTCCAAAAGAAGGACCAGAAGGGACTGCAGGTAACACTTCCTTCTCCTGCTTTACCAGGCGAGAACCCTTGCCTTTCTCAGTGGGACTTGATCCAACAGACGTATCAGCTGAAGCAATTGGCACCGAAACTTTAGCTCCAATCCCCTTAGATTTTGCAGACTTTTTACGATTTTTTTTAGTGTCTTTAGCCTCAATAAAGTCGTCGTCATCAACTGAATCCAATTGAGCACTCATAACTGGTACAGAAACACTGTCTGGAACCTCCATATCTCTTTCATTAACCTTTGTTGTAACTTCTTCAGCCAAAAGATCGTGTAATTGGCTCTTCTTGCTCTTTTGATTTATAGCACTTTCAGGTTTCCCCAAATTTGACTCAGCACTACCTGTGTCTGTCTTATGATCTGAATTGGCAACAACCCCAGCCCAAGGTGTAGAAAAACTAGTTGACTTAACAGACGTTGATATCTCTGAAATTGCCATTTCAGTTTGCGCTTTTTTCTGTTCTTCCTGTTGAATTTCCAATAGTGATTTTGGCTTGAAACCAGGAGCAGGCTTCCAAGCTCGTTGTCCAGTAAGTACTTGTGCACTAAGCGGTGAGGCAGGGCCAACTGGTCTGGAATCACCCTTTGCCTCCACAGACTCACCATCTCTGACTGCACCTATAGGCAATGAGCTTTTTACTTGTTGAGCATCCACGATTTCAACCGTACCAACTTCCGATTTACTTTCTCTAGTTTCTTGTGCAGATGTTCCATGAAATATTTCTTCGAGATCATTGTGTGTTTCATTCTTCACGTCTGCAATATTAGAAACTTCAGTTTCAGATGGCTTTGATTGTTGCAAAGAGGGTGCTTTAGAAACTCCCTTCCCTTGGTCGGAAGATTGTGCCTTGGAGGATCTCTGCTTTCTTGACTTCCTCTCAGAAGCTTTTCTTACTTCACGCACTTCAACATTTTTCAATTCTTTCACTGCAGAGGCCTCTTCATTGCATTGTTCTCCTTCAACATATGCTTCCTCAAGAGCAATTGTAGGCGGAACTATCAGTTCATTTACTTGCTCAGACAATGAAATTTGATTCTCAAAATTCCCCACTGCATCTACTGCAACAGATTTTCCCAGATGTTCCAAAGTCTCCACAGAAGCCTCGGACGTAACTGTGACAGGTTCATTGATTCTCAAAAGGCTTTGTGATATCGGCTCCTGTGGAGATTTATCAACCACCTCATATTGGGATAAGCTATCAATCACAGTTGATGGTGGCAAAGAAACATTTTGTAAAATGTCATCAATTTGTTCTGGCAGAGCACTACCCCAACCTTTTTGGTGGACACTATTCCCAAACAATTGATGTGGCAAATGTATAGAAGAAGCTTCAGAACCAACATTATGACTGACATCCTGGGAAACACTGGGAGGCAAATTAACAAAATTAGATATGTGATCATCTTGCAAATTTGGAACTGGTATCTGTGAACCCATCTGAAACAACTCTTGTGACGGCTGAAACCTAGAATGATCTGCAAAAGCATTTACTGCTGGCAATGCAGAAGCCTGTAACTGTCCATAGGATTGCTCAGCAAAACGCTGGTGAGGATGATGATCTGAAAGCACCTGAGAGAGCAATTGATGTTGCTGCCGCAACAATTGTTGTTGCTCTTCCTGTTTCTGCTGCTGCTTAAGCAACAGGAGTTTATCCAATAGTAACATCTGCTGAGATGGAACTGGTGCCTGGGAATGTAACTGCAACAAGTATTGTTGTTGCAACAAACTTAAAATTTGTGGATCTTGAGAGATACCAGAAGATAGTAGCTTCTCAGGGGTTAAAATGCCAGACGAATTATCAACACTTTGAGCTAGTAAATTTGTTAAAGAGGGTTGATTCTGTGGTTGCAGCCTTTGTTGTTGCATCCCAAATGCAGCTTGGGGAGGGAAATTTGGGCTATGATGCAAGTCCAGCTTTTCCTGAAGAGGGTCCAAGCCACCCTGGATTGGGAAAGTTGACCAACCACCAACTCCATTATTGAGGCTAACTGGAGACTTGTCAGGTAAGCCTTGAAGGATGGACATCAAATTCTGCGAATGAGGCTGCTGGCGAGGATTATCACCAATTGATGATAGAAGATTTGAATGTGGAGGAGTGGAGTCATGGACAATATCTGAATTCGAAACCATTGGAGCTGCATCCCTTCCGGTCCAATATGGATAAGTATTTGGCAGAGAATTCTGCCGTTCAAGCGTCATTCTCTTCGCCAAGAGGTACAGATTGTCACCACTTTCCAATCCCAAGGGGGGCATACCACTAGAATTATTTCCAATATAGCCCTGCATACCTGCAAAGTGAATACAGTTAGCGGTGCAAGATCGAAACAGCCACCTGAAATCATAGTAGCTAATGAAATAAAAATAAATAAAAAATATGCTAGATTAGATAATACCATCATTCCTTAAAACCAAATAAAAAAGTCTTCTACTGAAAAACCAACCTTCAGAGAAAGCAAACTTCTCACGCGGAGACGTGCTCATATTACTCGTATTACCAGACATGAGGGACTCCAAAAACCTATTTTCAGCTTCTTTTGTTGAACCATGTTTATATATTTGTTCAGCCTTCATCATATCAATCTCACTCGAACTTGCATGAAGCTTTCCAAAGTCGCTGAAGTTTGACCTACTCGATGCAGGTACAGTTTCATTCTGTTTTGGTGCATTAAATCCAGGTGGAGGTCGGGATTTTGCTCGTAAGTGCGGCATAACATCACCAAGCAATGAAAATGGCAAATCATGTGGTGCATTTGCAACGCGCACCAGCAAATCTATGCCAAAATATCCAGCCTCAAACCACCCAATAATATCGCTCCCAGCAAAAGGGCCTTGAATTTCACCCTGTGGATCTTTATAATAAAGCAGAAGGTCCTCTGGAGAAGGCTGTGAAAGTTTCCTGGTTTCCGATTCCCTGTCCAGGACTGCAGACGGCTGCCTTCTAATAATTGAATCCTCACTGAGCTGCCATTTAGATTCATCTTTGGGGGAAGACAGGTTTGCCAAACCACTTCCCCATTCTTTGTTCAGATCTTTCTGTGATTGTAACCAACCAATGTCAGAAGTTCCTGACCTGCCATCAGTAGGAATCTCTCTCCATGCTGTGCTAGGATGAAAAGATGCATTTCCCTGCACACTTGATTCCATATTGATGGGCACCTCATCAGTCCTATAACGAGCGCCATCTTCAATTGAGGCTGAACATGATAAAATGAATTAGAGACACAAGCAATATAAAGATACAGGACCTATCATTAAATAGAACTCATCCAGAGAGAACACCCTGAATCGAGGATACATAAACCAGAGGATAACATCCATCGAACTATGCATCCTCTCTCCTCAACCGTTAAATTTTATCAGACAGTTCAAACATTAAGATTTCTTAACCATCTGATGTATTGAGTGTAATCAAGAAATCATTTTGTAAAACCTTTCACAAGGCATCACTGATCATCCTGCAAAGCATCTCAAGTTTGTAGCAAGAGAAATTATTAATATTGTGATTTCTATGTACCTTCATTATACATCTGCTTCTCAACATTTTCACCTTTATAATCATCAACAGCAAGCGGCAAATCTTCTCTACTACCTGCTCACACAGGCCACATCCAATAAATATTAAAAGCATCCAAAAAACTGCAGAAAATATTCAGGATGAATAAAAATGAACACATTCAGTACCAAACTTGGGTCGTCTAGCTTGCACAAAGTCATTTGAGTTTCTTCCAATGGATGCATCCTTAGAAATCTGAGGTGCACCACTACTTACTATATCCCCTTTATCAATTCCCTTCAAAATAACCTACTCAAAATGCAAAGCAATAAATACAGCTGCAAGTAAGACCAATAAAGTTCATAACAATAACTTAAAGAGGAGAGTACCAATTCATCAGAAGTAGGTGCACAAAATGCCAGAGGCCCTAATGGTTTTTCTTGTGTAAGGGAAGGCACAGGCACAATCCCATCTAAAAATTTCTGGCAAGACCCTGTATCGTTAATCCTGTACACATCAAGCAATTTTGTCCTACTATATCTTAAAGGGGAAGGCTCTCCATGGCCAATTTCACCCTTTTCTGAGAGGGTTCCAAAAGACTGAGAATGAATAGTATTCATAGAGCTTCCACCAGGGCCAACCCTTCCCCGACCATGCGAAAAGGTTGGTAGAGGATTTTCACCACGTCCTCGACCATAGGCAAATGTAGAGCCCTGTTTGTTTGGCGTTGGAGTTTGGTGATGGGGAGGCTCTACTCTTCCTCGATTGAGGGTGTTAGATCTCCATGGACGATAATGGTCCCCCTCTATCTCATCCTTCGCATGATGAGTAAGATGAGAGAATCCTTTATCAACAGGCATGTCAGCATCCTTGCCAGAATCCATCCACTTATCACGCAAGCTATCTGCCTCCTTATTGTCAGGGCCCCAACGTGTGTTCCATTTGCTCTCACGACGTTGATCATAATTAGTTTCTCTGTTACTCAAATCAGTCCACCGCTCAGATGGGGCACGGCGTGCTTCTCCAAATTGCCTTGCAGAAGTGCCATCCATCCACCGGTCCACCTTACGGGTGTCCCCAGACTCTTTATCTCCCTCCCTCCAACGATCCCTACGGATGGAGGAATTGGTGGTCTCTCTTTCCTCGTCACGCCAGCGGTCACGGCGACCAGAATCCATGTCAAGCACAGTTGGCCTGAAAACATCCTTTTTCTTCTGGGTATCATGCATCTCCTCACCATTTCCCGATGACTTCATCACATCTGAAAGACTGGCATAACCTGGATTTGGGGTAAAATTGTTCTCCTGTACAAAAAGCAAAAAAGAGAGTAGAGTCTCCAACCCTTCCAAGAGGCTATTGCAAGGCAATAAAATAGAAGAAGAAGAGCTGAGAGAAGTGGAGGGAAACTAAAAGGGGTAGTAGAATTACTCTTTTTTTATTATGTAAAAATAAAAAAAATAAAAAAAAAAAGGAAAAAAGAAAAAGAAAAGAAAAGGAACAAATGACAACGCACCCCAGTTGCATTTCCAGACTTGTTCTCCCCCGGCTTCGGAAGAAGCCACTGTGGTGAAAGTGGAACAGAATTGTCAGATCCATGCACATCTACACATAATAAACCCAAAAAAAATGATAATAAATAAAATTTAAAAAATCCTCATCAAATATATGTTGTTAGAATTCTTAAACTGACTGGCTATTACAGATATGAATTAGTCACATTTCCAAACACCTGGATTGATTGAAATGGGAAAAGCAGATCTAACATTTCTTTGAGCATCCACAAACACTATTGTATTTGAAACAAGAGAAAACAATATAGTCGGGGTTGTTTGCATGTGGAACATATTACATGAAGCATAAATCATTACACTCACGGAGCTAATTAATCAAAATTGTAGAAATCCTTGCAAAATAAGAATGAAGAAGCATGACTATTAAACCTATTTTATTCCACAATAAGAATATGGAACCATAAAGTATTATTAACCTATTGTGAGAATCAGAAATAACATAAATTGCTGTGCAATTTTATTTATTTATTTTTTTGTGTACAAGTAGAAGTGGTGGTGCAATTTCTGAACCATTTGGATGTCTAGCGATCAAAACATAGGCATCGTCGCAACAGCTGGCTATATTCATCTCAGCTAAGTCACATGAGGAATTGCTGTGTGAGGACAACATTCATCATGTATTTCGCTGTCTTAACCCACATTCTATTTGGCCTTCCTCCAGTAGTCTTTTTCAAGGTTGTTAAAATCGGGATCCTACATTGGATCGTTGAAGGTGTTTATAGGATCGGATCGAGAATCGTAAGATCCTACCGAAAAAGACAAATTACATAATAATTTAATTTAAATAAATATTTCTTAAAAAGTATACACAAAATGAGCCTATATTCTATTAAAAAGAAGTGAAGATATTGTGAAAAATATAATGCTCCATGTAAAATGTACATATAATATTATACAATAGAGAACTCAATGGTAAAAATTTTGTATTTCATCCAAAAAAGAAGGTGAAGAAGAAGAATTTTATAACAAAATACTTTACAATCTACAATAATACATAAAAAGTGAAGAAAAAATATTTAACAAAGTTGGATATGAAAATAGATTAAGAACTCAAAAGAGCAGCTTAACCGAATGATAAGGTTTGTCGTTAGCATTCCTGGTGGAGCGGATTCGAGTCACAAAAATAATTTCTCCAAAAATTGGGATAAAGTTGCACTCATCTTACCCTCCTTAGACTTCGCTATAACTGAGTTTGTTTTTCCAACTAGTTAATTTTCCTAAATTATTGCAATATTTAAATGTTTGTTTCCTAGTTTGTTTTTCTTAATCTATTTGATCCAATACTACTTAATTTTTATTATTTATTTTGACCACATAAATTGATATTTAGACAACAAACATAAAATTTACAATAAAATATGTCATACAATACAAAACAAGGCTTGTAAATTGGATCGGATTTGGATTGGGATTCCACGATCCTATAAGATCCCATTACCAGGATTGAAAGATCCTACCAATAAGGAATCTTTTACACGATCCGGATCGATTGTACTCAAATGGATCGTAAGATCCGGATCGAGATTCTGGTAACCATAGTCTTTTTATTACCTTCAACTAGGATTAAATAGCTCCTTTTATTGGCTCAACTATCTACCTCATTTTTCCTTTTTCTTTTCCTTTTTTGTCGGGAACAAATGAAAAATTATTAGATTAAAGAAAAGTTACAAGGAAATGGGGGACCAGGTGTCCGCCAAGGACAAGACAAGAGAAAAAGACAACTACAAAAATGTAAGAAACTCATACAAATGACATACAGCCATCTAATCCTTGGAAATAAAATCATAATAAAGAAGTGGAATCTCATGAAAAGGAGGAGAAACTGAAGCCCAAAAAGAAGACAAATAACACTCTATTACATAAAGAATCAATTTCCCCAAACTTATCCTCAACAACTCTCGTGTTACGCTAATGAGAAAAAGAAAGCAATTCAACTTTTGCTTTCTTGTTGGTGCCAAAACCCCCAAAGACAATTGAGAGCAAGAAGCCAATGCCATGCAACAAGCATCTACCAAATGAAAAGGCCTATGCCACAAAGTCATTGCGAAAATGACAGTGAAAAATAAAAAGTGATCCAGATACTCCTCATTCCTTCTACACAAAATACCCACCAACATTTTGAATCCTACCTTACTTAAATTCAATGCTAACAATATTATTTCTTGGTCATGTTAACTTTAAGACACGGAATTCTCAACACCATAAGCAAATTAACAACCTTGGAACCCCCCCTCCTCCCCCTCTCCCCCCCCCCCTAAAAAAAAGGAATTGTCGCGAACTGTAAATAAGATCCAAAAACATAATCCCGATCCAGAATGTCAACCATCAAAGTAAAAATAAAGGTGGGCAATGTATCACTTTGCCCAAAACCCCTAGGGACCTTAAAACCCCTACCTACCTTCCCAATCACAATGATCGACATGTTACAAGAAGACAAACCCTCAAAACCATCTCCTCAATCTCTCACCAAATCCTATTTTGTATAGTGCCCAAAAAAATAAAAAATAAAAACCAACTTGATCATAAGCTTTCTCAAATTGCACTTTAAATAACACCCCTTATTAGAACCTATGTCCTTCAGCCACCTCATTTGCTATCAACGTGACATCCAAAATCTCACAGCCTCCCACAAAAGCCCTTTAAGCCACATAGATGGTGTCCAACAAGACAACTCTTAACCTTTTGGACAAGACTTCCCCCAAATTTTTTTACAAGGATGGAACCAAACTAATCATAGTCACTAATCTTCAACGAATTCTCTTTTTTACGAATCAAGCAAATGAAAGATGCATTCATCTAGGCATTAACCACACCACCCACAAAGAACTCCACAAAAACTCTAATCAAATCAATTTTCACATCCTACCAATCTTGAAAAACGGCCATATAGAACCCATCAAAACTAGGGGATTTATCCCTCTTACATTCAAAAATTACTTCTCTAATCTCCATCTCATCAACTGACCTCTCCATCCACGTAGATTTTGACACATGAATCAGATCCCAATCCAAACCCTCCCCAATCAATACCCTCAATCCCATCATGCATACAAAGATGAATAATAAGTAAAAAATTAGTTGGTAATTTGATCTTCTCTCTCCACAATCACCCAACGGTCTACCTCTATCCTTTTAACAAATTCTTCCTCTTCCCTTCAACAACCTTATGGAACAATTTAGAGTCATTGTCTCTCATTAATCCATTTCATTTTAGTTCATGTTCCCAAAAAATTGTTCTCTAAATATTGTGTCTTCCACCTTGGGTAAATTACACTTTAAACTCCTGCACTTTGCACCAAATCTCACTTTGGCCGCTGCACTTCTGGTCAAATCCTACTTTGGTTCCTACACAAGAAAGCGTGACTATCAACTCCCCACACTTTTGGTCAAATCCCACTTTGGTCCCTACACAAGTGTCAATGTTCCCCTTCTGTTACTCCATTATTTAAATCTTTAATAAAATCCAATCATGTGACAAGAATGTCACTACGAAATGAGGGTAAGAAAGGAAAATCATCTCCATTTCCCACCAATACACATTTTTTTTTTTTTGAGCATCAACTAACATTTTATTAAAAATGAAAAATGAACGAGGACAAGAAGTCCTCAAACAAAGGCGGAGAAAGAACAAAATAAAAGCACAAAATTCCTAGCACTAGGGATGGCAAACAGCGGCCTAATCCCTAGAGATCAAGAACAAAGGGACTCCTTTAAAAGTAGGGGATACAAATGCCCAAAACGAAGTCAAATATCCCACTCTATCCCACAAAGCCTCTACATTTGATTCCTTGCCATCAAATATTCGTGCATTTCTCTCCAAACATATAGTCCAGAAAATAGCAAAAATAATGCTTAATAATAGTGTTTTGGTTCCCGAACCCTTTGAACCTAACAAGAACTATTTGAATGCAGTCTCGCAGAGCAACCCACTGATCATCACATAAGCTGAAAAGACGCTACCATAATACAAAAGCCACCGGGCAATGAAGGAATAAATGATCCACTACCTCTGAATTCCTCTTGCACATCACACACCATTGAGGGCAAAGAGAGTGATTAGGCCTTCTTTTTTGACACCTCTTTGAGCTAAAGACCACATGCATAACTTCAATTTATGAGGGGCAACAACTTTCCAAATTTTCTTATGAATAGGAAACAAAGGAACAGAGAGATTATCAATAAGCTTATCAAAAAAAGATTTACAAGAAAAGACCCATGAAGAAATAAGATTCCAGACCCTAATGTCAGGAGAATAAGAAAGAAAAACCCCATCAAGCAATACCAACAAAGATGCTAACTCAGTAGCCTCACTATCATTTAAGGTTCTAAGGAAATCAAAATTCCAAAAGATGGCTGCCATAGAAGAGCATGCTACCGATACTATTGAAACATTCCGAGAACGAACCAACTCTATCAAACAAGATATCCCCTAACTAAACAGCCTCCCAAAAACTGATGCTCACCCCCATTCCCCACTCTCAATGAAAGGAAATTAGATACAAGTAGCTACAAGTAATGGACTTCCACGGTGAACGACAATTGCCTCTATTAATCACATTAGAATCTCTATCATTGGGTTGAACTCAATACTTGCTTTAACAACTGAACACCATAGCAATTCATTTTCAACGAGAAATCTCCACAACCACTTGCCTAAGAGAGCAATACACACTTCTCGTACCCTCATTTTGTAGTCATATTCTTGTTATATGACTAGATTCTATTAAAAATTTAAACAATGGAATAATAGAAAGGGGACATTGATACCTGCGTAGAGACCAAAGTAGGATTTGACCAAAAGTGCAAGCAGTTGACTGTCACGATTTCATATGTAAGGACCAAAGTGGAATTTGACCAAAAAATTGATTGTCAATATTTCATGTGTTCCACCAAAGTGGGATTTGGTGTAAAGTGTATTTTACGCCTTCCAACTATGTCTTTTTTCTTTTCTATTTTTTTTTTTTTTGGATAAATTACGCCTTCCAACTGTCTTTAATTCAACTCTTGTTTTTCGCAAATTATCATCAAGGC